CAGACCTAAGGCTAATACTGTGATTGCAGTCCTACCCCTGACATCCAGACCCATCTGTATCTCTCATGTCTGCCTCTGTTTCCTTCCCAAAACCGGGGCACTGGGCAAGGACACTGGTGCGCCCCGGGCTTCCAGTATGGCATTAGGATGCACCCAGGCCAGGCACGCTGGTAGCACAGACCCTGTGCCTGCATTTCCAGCCTGTTACACGGACATAATAATATGTATATGTACCATAGTATGTGTCCTGACCACACAGAAGAGCTGTAGGATAAAACTGCAAGAAGACGTCAGATGTTTACTGGTAGAAATTTCTTGTGACGGGAGCTGAATCACAAATGTTTTTTAGAGCGGCAGTGCAGAGAGAGCAGCCTATGGAAATGTGCATGCAGAGGTGTTGTAGGTACCCCTGCAGTCCCACAGCCAAATCCGTTTGCCCTTCTACAAGGTAGCTTCTGTCTGGAGTAGACTATAAATACTGTTCTATGAGATTGAGTTGGACGCTAAAAATAGCAGGTGATCCTAAAGACCCGTCTCTGGCATTAAAATCTGGGGTGGGTCCATCCCATCTGTTTCGATGGAGCCATGGCCATGCCCTGACTCCTGGATAAGGCTGGCTCAGCTCGTGTCTGCCCACACGAGACCTGTTCCCGCGGCAGCGCGGTGCTGCCCATGGACGGGGTCCTCCACCGTCCCCGGTGAGTGCACCAGGACCCACCATGCATGGTGACGCATATCGCACCCAACACTGGGGTTCATACAGGGGTGGTAAGCCTTAATTAATCACGGGATTGGAAGCTGGTGGTTGCGTAGAGACTTGTGATCCTGAGTTGACTGTACTCAGCATGGGCAAATGTAGGACATTTCCCACCAGTACATAGCTGGGGGCAGATTCCATGCAAGGGCTGAGGTCCTGAAGCGACAATTAAGATCACCTGGAGGGTAACCCAAAAGGTGGGTAGTAAATTGCTCATATGTTCTGTGGGGCCAGTTAGGTGTGGGGACCTGAGACAAAGCCCCAAACCCACCCAGCCGAGGAGGTACATGAGACCCCACCGTCCTCACCAGAGCTGGGGCTGCAGGAGGAAAGCGGGTTTACTCACTCTGGATCAAGAGACCCGTGCTCTGGAAAGCAGGGCTCTCCGGAGGAGTCCTCAGGGAAAGCCGTGGACCATGGCTCCGGTGCGGGCTGCAGTCAGCTGTCACCCTTGGACCGGCAAGAGAAAACTCCAGGTGTTGAAAAACTGATTCGGTCTCGTGAAAAAGCTGTATCTTGAATTAGCGGGTAGAAACTGGCCTGTTTAAACGGAAAATAAGTATATGCCGTAATTAATGGTCAAAACATGAGACTAAGGAGGTAGAACACATTCAACTGTGATATACTGTAAGCTCCCAATTGATAAATGTCTGCTGACAGGGTGGGTCAAAAGTAAAAAGCAGCAGATTTTTATCTCTCACAGAGATATGTATGTCAGGAGCCATAACAGACAGTGGGATGGATTAGGATGCCCAGTTGTCACCACGCTTTTTGAAGATACCACCTGCGGGTGTTTTAAGCACTGCTGGCAGGCTGGTGTCACGGATGGGGTGGAGATCTGGAAGGAGGGAGTTATATTTCCTGGATTTGCCACCAAATCCTTTTTCACCCTTAACCTCTCAGCCCCTCTTTGTGTCATCTTCTTTAAAACAGCAATAACATCCTCCGCGCAGCTCTTGAAAGAGCTGCGGGGAAAATCCACTAATGGCATGGCACGCTGAGACCTCTGAATGGGAAGCACCATATACCATATAAGAATCATACCATATAAGAAGTATACCATATACGTGCAAAGTACCCTCCTGCTGCTTTTCAGCAGGCTGCTGCAGGGCTGATGGTTCCCTGTGGAGGGATCCTTGCAGGCTTTGTTATTTATGCCTTCATTAGAAAGAAGGTCAGTTTACACAAATTCCCTGTCCCCATCCTTGGGAAGGATGGGTGCTTCAAGCGACATCCACCTTGTTAATCAGTTCCACCTCTATCAGCCCTTGATTGCATCTCCTCTCAGGGAAGTGCCGCCCTCAGTTGATCAGTGCGAAAGGTCAGGTCACAGAATCGTTTCTTCATCTCTCAATTATTTCCCAGTATTAATGACTTCCCATCAGGCTGCTGCTTGGGCTAGCTTTTTAAATTAAATATTGCTGCTAATTGCATAGATGCAAATCTGAGTGCCACTCAGTAGAAGAAAATATTGTGTATCCTGGTACAATGTAAAGCCAATGTAGGTCACTTTAAAAATTAAGTGCATGTATGACAGGTATGAAGCAACAGGGAGATATATAGCTTTCTCCTCAGTGCGACTTCATGTATTTAGGCTGCAGCTTGAAATTGCGATGGAGTCTGTGGGGAAAGCTGCTTTTTTTGTGAGTCAGCAGAGAGTGCATGGTCACAAAAGAGGCACCCGCTGTGCTCGCAGCAAGGTTTTACTTTGGTTCACACTTCTTTCCTCCCGCCTGCAGTTCAGCAGTCAAGCCACAAATGCGCGGGGCAATCTTGAAGAATAGGGAAGAAAATCCGGACACGAATTGGAAATTTACTGGCAGGGTGAGCAGCCAAATAACAGCTTTCCAACCCAATTTCTATTTCAGTGTTCTCAGGCTAGCTAAGCAGAGCTCTGGAAATGTGGCATTCACACGAAGAAGAATAACAACGGTAATTCTTCTTGAAAAGCTCCCACGCCAAAACACTCAGAAAGCTGCGCTGCGGGATAGCAAAGTCATGATGCTATAAGTCACATTAAAAACAGGGAGGGTGGACAGCTGTGTTTCCATTCGGACCAAAGAAATGTGATCCTTAATTAATTTTCACATACTGCTCTTGAGCAGCATGGCGGGGCACAGGATGCTAATGAAGGTGACGGTATGAAAGGTATGTCGTCACAGCCCCGCGCTGAGGTCACCGGCTTCCACAGCCTTAACGCTGAGATTTGGTGAGTCAGTAGCTGCACGGCTCCTGCTGTTAGCAATCAAAGCCACACTTCTAATTGCAGAGGCAGCGCAGGGGGATGACTAGGGCAGGGGCACGGTGCTTCACCTGCACTGCGCACACTGACTGGTTCCCGGCCACTTTTTCTCTCTTGGTATGTGTCTGTGGGTACACACGCACCCACCGGCGCACGCATAAAAATCACAAATAAGACGAGGACAATTTGCAGCCAAGGGAAGCTGGTTGCTTGCTTGCTGGTTCTGTGTCATGTATTGCAAACCTGAAGAGCCAAGGTGCAATCTGTGTTTATCTTTACAACTCCGGGGCTGCCACCATGGTTTCTGAAGATCCCAGGTACAAATCTGAATTGTCTTTTATTTTGATAAAAGCCCACATCATCACGCATGTACGCTTGTGCTCAAATTCCCCACCACCTCTGAGTGCTCCCCTTGCTCGCTTCTCATACTGCCTATGAACCAGTGATAGCAGAATCCCAGTTTTAATTCTAAATATGGATTTATATGGGACTCTGGAACACTTCAGGTATTCTGAGGGACTGCATACACTGAATGAATTGCTGGATCAGGACCAAAACCTTCACAAAAATCCCCAAATATCAAGAATCTGGAATTCCCTCCCTCTCTGCAGATCATGCTCCTAGTTCAATCAAGAAATAAAAGAAGATTAGAAAAAGAAGAAAAGAGAGGAGAGACAGAGACAGAAAGAGAGAAACAGAGAGATTTTCAGCATTATGGAATTGTTTTAAAAATACAGTTTCTCTGTGGTTCCTCTCTTCTTTAACCCACATTAGGTGTTAACTTCTGAAGGATGAAAGCGTGGTTATTTTTTCCTCATCTGATATTTTCAGCCCCAGTGTTCTATCTCCTCCTTCAATTTCTACAGCACCCTTTGCACTGACTTTTCAACAGTTCAGCCAGACTTCCTGGCAGAACAGCAGCAGGATTTATATTTGTGGCTGGATGCTCTCCATACCTCCAATTTCCCATGAGTCACAGACCTGCCTCCCAGCTTTTTTACATTCCTCCTATGCGATGACTGACACACAGACTTGGAAATTCTAGCTATATATATACACACACACATATATAGACATACATATACTGAATAAATTTAATTTTCTTCTGTCAGTCTCACCACTCCAGTTTATGACACATGTAGACATGTCAGTTGACTTAAATGATTCTTTGCCATTTTCCATGTTCTCCCTTTCCCATGAGTCAGCTCCATAGCTGCGTCAGGAATGCTTTCTGATGATGATGCTGCATTTTAAAAATATGCAGGTGAGCTCAGGAGCTATTTCTTTCTCCCATTCAAATATTTATGCTGATTTGGCACTAATGACTCAATCTCTTTATTGCTCTGTGCGGGAGTTGTCATCATCCCTCTGTAAGACACCTGGGGCTTTGGATGTTCTGTGTTTTTAGAGGTACAAGGCTACACTCCATAATTTCCGCCTTTGTTGTGGCTTTAAGCAGAATATAGCCTGCTCTGAATTGCTTGAGCAGAAGCTTTGAAAGAAAAGACTTCTGAGTCTCACCTAGAAATACGAATATCAGATTTATCAGCATCTTCACTGGCTTGTGACTGAGGCCAGGGCTGCCTTTCAGTGTGGATAAAGTGGGACCCTTCTGCCCTGACATACATTTTCTGTAATATTTTCTATAGTCTTTCCAGATTTTTGTTCAGGGAAGGAGAGCAAGAAGTGCATCGCCTGCACCAGAAAGCAGGTGAGCTCTGGGCACGCAGCCCAGCCAGCCCATCGAATTTCTGCGTCCCGTTGTCAGATTGCTCTGTGCAGGACCTGCTAAGCCTTCAAAACTTTCCTGAGTGCACACAGCTCATTGACTTTCCATTAATTGCACTGCTGATATATCATGCTAGTGCGGGTTCACCATGTTTCCCTGTATTTGAGTTTTATCCCCGTGTTTGCTCTGAAATTACACTAATTGGTCCACTTTTATCTTTAATGTCTCTTTATTTGAACAGCAGCCACAGGCAGTTTATGGTCTAAAGTTACATCGGCGCCTGTTCTGCCAGGCTGTGTGCCGCTGAGTGAGTCCCAGGTTTGCTCTCGGTTCTCGTGGGGCTGATGCAGGACCGGGCTCGCTGTGGCGGCATCGCTCTGCAGAAGGACCCGCCGGCACCAGCTCCGCTCCGCACCGAGGTTCGGTGTCCGAAGGGCTCAGCTGCGTCACTCCGGGCTGAATCTCTTCTGCAAAACAAGCACCGCGACCCGGGCTTTCGGCATCTTCGGGGATTGTATCTGGATGCTGCAAGTCATCTTCATTTTTCAGTCTTTTGGAGGGAGGGCCAGAAGGGAGGACCAAAGCCTTCCAGGTGCCTAAAGCACCTGGTCAGTGACGGAGGACAGAAGGAGATGGGGTGGGTTAGTCCAGGGAGTCTCGGGTAGAGAAGACAACACCGGGCTTCAGACAGGTAAATACAAAGCAAACAGAAGGGCTGTTCCCCGTGTCCACTGTGGACAGGACTACAGATAAGAAGTCAAAATTGCAATTAGGGAGATTCACCTCAGACACCACGAAAAGGTTGATATAAGTAAAGCCCTAGAGAGAAAGTGGTGGTTGTGCAACACTAGTGCTGGGAATTAAACAAGCAAAACAGCTTAGAGAAGAGTTTGCACAGAGCATTACAGGTATGGCTGCTTTTGAGGCACAGGCGGGCTTGGCAGCTTCTTTAGGTCCTTCTGCTCTACTTTGGTGAGTCCATGCTTCAAACATCTTCAGCTCTTCAGACATGCCCAGTTCTTTCCTGGTCCCTACAGCCAACCTATGCCAGATCAGCAGACTTGCTCTTCCAAGAAAGGTGTATTTATGTATTTTTCTCACTCTGAATGTCACATCTCGAAAGCCTCTGTGTGCATGTTGCAGAGGTGATGAACGTAACCGAGCTTTTCCTTACAGTAGTTATTTTATTTGTTCCCCTCATTACTTTACCACTCCAGAGAGTTAGCAGAGACCGGCTTCATGACTGAAATTCATCCTCAGGCCAGAGATGCTGGATGCAGAGCAGGTGCCCTCTAATTCCCTCTTCAAATACCCAGCCCTGGTAAGCCTTTTGCATGTGCTCTCTCTCCAGCAATGCCACCCAAGCAAGGGCCACTCTGAAGCTACCAGGTGGATGGAGTATTTTCAGGGGAGCTACCAACAGTCTGAAACCATATTGGTATATGCTTTTCTCTGGCTAAACTTCTGGCTCTTCTGTGCTGCATTGTGTAATGCCTTAAATTTCACGCCTGTTGTACTATACTGCCAGCACTCTCACCAGAGAAACACCGTTCTGCTCTCCTGTGAAAGAAGAAGTGACTAGGAGCTCTCCTAAGAGCATTTCTTGTGCTTCAAGTTCTTTGCAAGAGACAGCATACCTAATTTTAGTTTAAATGCATGTTAATTTGACGTGTGGATTTGAATCACTGAGATAAATTCTTGGCTTTTTGACATTAAAATATATTAAGTGACAAGTGCTTTTTGACTACTGTTATTCTCTGAAAGGTTCTTTCTTTCTATAGCATCTAATGATAAAGCTCTAATGCGTAAGAGTCCTGATTTTGCAGGAAGTTGCACTGAATGGTCTAACAGGTCATTTTCATCTCTGGGTTACATGGCAATAATAGAATAATAATAACAAAGGTTGCAAAACATTCCTACCCCGGCTGAATCAGCTGGCTTTTTCTACAGGCTGGTTATTCATTTGAGTAATAAATATTCATGGATTTTTCAGGAAAGACATAGTGCATAATTTGTCTTGAGCAAAATTAAACAGGACAGGCAGCCTTATCCTACAGCAGATCACAAAGGATTGAACTTGAGTGGCAGGCTTGAGTGACAGCCTAAGTATGCCTGACAGTTGCAGAAGTCATCAGATTCTTCAACAGCAATTGTTAAGGCTTATTACATTGTGTCCTTGAGCCTTTTCAGTGTTAAAATCCCGTATTGAAGGAGAATAAGTTACTGATGCTACCATACCAGAGAACAATGCAATGCCCGGTTTGACTCAGATGAGTACTTTTCACCGTTGCTCTCGTCCCCACGCTCCTGGATGTACAGAGGGTCAAATGCCAATTTGCCTCTAGACCAGCCTTGACAGCTCAGCCATCGAAAACGCGAAGCATCCAAGTTCAGTTCCTCAAGAGGAAAGAAAAACTGCAATTCCTGTGCCACAGCTCAGCAGAAGGCACTGACTCTGCACTCACATCCCATAAAACATTGCTAAATATTGACCACGTGTTGCACTGCCCTTACCGAGGGTTTTCTGTTAGAGGCTCCTGTACCTGCGCTGGCAATAGGAGCTCACCAGGTGAATAATAATCCCAGTCCCTGTGTGCACCCTCTCCTGCTCTTACACATGCATATACACTCACACTGCTAAATTTATTTCCCCCTTGCTGAGGTACTTGCTGCCAACTTTCCCTCCAGCTCGCATTTTTTCCCACATGCTGCTGACTTCTGTAATCCCTCCCAATTCTCTCCCTGTCCCCTGCCCATGTCAGCGAGGCTGATGCCAAAGCCTCTCTCAGCCAGACAGCGGGTGCGGGGGGCTCACCGAGCCCGTAAAGGTTCCCGTCACGCTCCCAGGAGAAGTGGGACGTTAAAGGGGAAGTCAAAGCCCAAACCTGGTGAAACAGCACGAGTTGTCTCATGAAGATTCAGCAGTGTTAACTGTGACTCTTGAAGATGGGGGAGCCGAAGGTTACCAGTTATCAGTGCCTTATTGTGGCACTGACTCCGCTGATATGAACTGCACTGAGTTAGGTGAGCTGTTCTGAACTCCAGATGATCTCAGCCATTAAGCCATCATCTTCTTGTGGCTTTACCCACCCACATGCCTCCTGGTGACAGGCCAGGAAAACAGAGGTTTACCCCATTCCTCAGGCTACAGGACCTCAGAAAAATAAATAATCGCAATGGCTTTAAAGCAAATCGCATTAAAAAAACCCTACTCTGATTTACTCCAAGAACTAGAAATGTTATTTCAGAGAACTGGTTGAAGCGCAGCACTGCTTAAATAAAGTGTCCACAACAGTATATGTGGCTTTCCACATGTTTCTGAGCCTAGCAGAAGAATTTATGCTTTTCCCCTGTGGACAGTGGCATCCTTGGAGATATCCTCTCTCTCGGGACCAAAGGCCTCCTCCCAGATCAACATTTCATACTCCTTGAGGTTTCTTCATCTTCCTCATCTTCCCAGAGAGCTCTCTCCTCTTCCAGCAGAGCTGTTTCATCTGCCCCCAGAGCTGCTTCTTCTGCCCATAGGACTCTGTCCTCATCCAGAAGGACTCCGTCTTTCTCCCAGAGGAGCTGACCTTCTTTCCAGAAATCCTCATCCTTCTTCCAGAAAGCATTGCAGTCCTTCCAGAAGTCACCATACACCCTCCAGAAGGCTTCTGCTTCCTCCTGAATAGCCTTTTCTTCCTCCCAAAAGGCAGTTTCCTCCTCCCAAGTGGGCTTTTCCTCTTCCCAGAAGGCTTGGATGGCCACCTTGAAATCTCTGATATTTTTTTTTTTCCTGAAAGCCCTTGATCTTCTCCTGAAAGCTCTTCATTGTCTCCTGAAAGCTCTGAATCTCCTCCTGAAAGGCTTTCTCAGCCTGCAGCTTCTTGACGAGCTTCTCTTGACTCCAGGTGCTGCTGGGATGGAGAAGGGTGTGGGGCTGTGCCAGGACCAGCCTTTGGCTCCCCCGGGCCCCCTCAGCCGGTCCCAATCTGAAGGAGAGGCGCCTCTGCCCTTCTCCCTTGGGTGCTCGAGGCACTCTCTTCTCTCTGACCCTTGGCTGCATCTCCTGCCCCTTCACAGACTTGTCCCCAAAACTTACAGCTTCCAGGATCACGTGACACTTGAGCAATGAAAACAAAAATCTAATTTGCTGTTCACTAATCTACCTAATAATTCTACAGCTAGGATTAAAGCTGGTTACTTATTTATACTGTTTCATTAGATTTATTATGACTTATTGCACAGAGCCTCCGGCTCCATAGCAGGGAGCAGGTTGCCTTATAAATAAAAAACTCTTGATTATCAATATATTATGAGCCTGCCTATCCCTCGCTGTAGTCAGGAAAGGCCCCAGGGGCCTTTACGGATGCAATGCAGCTAACGGCAATATGCATCTGCTCTGCGTGAGGAACAAGAAGGTGGGGAGTGCCCTGTGCCTGCGTGACAGATCCGGGGCACGGTGACGGGACAGCGAGCCAGCCCACGGATTTGGGTGGACACAGGAGAATTTTGGTTCTGCTGTTGCCTCCTCAGGCTGCTGCCTGACTCCTGAACCTTCCTTCCACAGCTGGGGCTTCCCTGGGAGACGGGAGCGGGGAAAGGAGGAAGATGTCCGTCTGCAGCTTCCCTCTCATGGAGCTCCTGGGCTCACCAGTTTGTCCCTGCTTAGCATGAGAAGGATCCCAACAACAAGCGGTGTGCGCTCCCAGCTGGGCTGGCTCGTCTGGGGGGGTTAGCGGCACCACACCACGTGCCTAGGAGGCCAGAAAAATCAGGTGAGTAAATGTGCCAAAACCTAATTGCCAGGAGCCTGTGATCACTTGAGTTTCAGAGCAGCTGCTGAAGCAGCAGCCATTTCTCCTCCACCAAAGGGGCTCCTGACGTGGGCTCCGCTCTCCCTGCACCTTCTGTGGGGCTCCCGGGTTGGCAGTTCCTCTTCATTCACAGCAGAAATGCCAGTAAATAGGACATGCCGAGTTTCCGCTCCCTGGGACTGCAGCTGGAAGCAATTAGGGCAACGGCAGTTCAGTTCCAGCCATCCCTGTCAGCTCGGGCACCAGCTGCCAGCCCATTAACAACCTCAAATACACCGTCTCTTCGTTGAAATGAAGGTGTTGGTGCTTCTACTTCGCTAATTTTGCCACACTCATCAGCCTGCGCCGTATTAGGCTATTTCAGGTGAGGTGCCCTGTAGCCCACGGCAGCGGGGCGCGTACCCCGTGTCCCACCGCGCTGCGTGGGCTCTGGCGTAGCCCTGCTCGACCCAGCACCTCCGCCGCTGCAGGCGGTGGGAAGCCAGACGGGGTCTCGCTCTGCTTGGCGTTACTGTTAGCACCACGAGGATGAGGCAGCTTTCAGGTTACACCCCAGGATATCTTCCCAAAACCAGCCGGAGGGTCCCGCGGAGGACGTAGGTGCTTACAAGTCAGTGTTGGTGATGCAGCGGAGTCGAAGAGCCGGAGCTCATGTGCTGCTGGCTCAGACGTGACTGTTTGACAGGAGGACAGTCCCAGAAACCTGTGTGCAGAAATGGGATCTCCTAGACCTAACCCATGGGGAAACCGCAGGTGATCGTGTCCTGTCCTGCCCCAGAGCCTGAGACTGCCCCGCACAGCAATTTCAGACTGGTTCCTTTGCATAAGAAGACTTGCTCTTGAAAACGTGGCAGAGAAGGGCAGGGAGAAACAAGGAGTCAGTTCTTCTTCCCTCCTGCCCTCCCAGGGTTCAGCTGGAAAACTCCTTAGGAAAACAAATTTGACTCTGACACAGAGGAAGCAACCCAGGTGCTTAAACAGAAGCATCCAGTGCCATTTTAGACACTCAGGAATATTTAGCTTATCTGTGGATGGACCGGCAGAAGATAACACATAGGAGACCTTTGTCCTTTGGGAGCTGCAGGTGGAAGCTGGGGGAGATGTCCCAATGCATGTCAGGACATGGGGCACCCATATGTATGTATGCATGAGTCCCACCTCGAAGTCTGTCTCTGATTTATGTGGCTAAAGCTTCCTTTAGGTCCTGCCCCAGAGATTACCAGACCAAATCAGTAAATCATTTTGCTTTTATGAGGCTTCCATCTCCTGAACATGCATGAAGTGACACAAATAAAACTTTGAGAGCCTTTTCTCACGTGGTACGGTAAAAATATTCCCATTTGTTCTTTTACTGCACTCCTGAGGCAGGCTTATAAAGATGTAGGATAATTATATCAGACTACATTTTTCAATTAGAACATCATTATTACCTCACAGAAAATGACTAAATTATATCATTTTGTTCCACAAGTCTGCAAACACTCTTTCAATTGTCATCAAAATAATAGTCATTGGGTTTCTGCAGACGTCTCTAAGAGTGCAGAACTAATGGCTAAAAAGTTTGATGCTAGTTTAGATCTGTTCTTTTGCTAAAGTGATGTCTTATGGATAGATGTAAAATGAAATTGAAAAAAATTATCTTTACTTGGTATGACTTCTGTTATTCTTCTTGCTCTTACCATCTCTTGCCATCAAAAAACTAAAGCCCCAAAGATATCTAGTAATTGTGGTCATGCTACTGGAAAACTTAGCATTTGTAAAACTCTCTAACAGAGACATGCAGTACTTGCAGAAGTGCAGTCCTTATGGCAGCTGGGTCTCTGACGCCCACTGGTGACTGTGACCCATTGATCACCTACAGTGACATAATTTCACAAAGTTTGAAACCGTTGATGGAGAGTCAAGTGATGCTGGGTTGAGCTGGAAGGAGTCACTGGGCTCCTGGCAGAGTATAAGCCACAACTGGTGCTTTGCTTTGTTTTCATGCTGGTTGTTTCTGAAGAACACCCATCCGTGGGTCATATTACCCTCGCTAGCTCCCCTCCCGGTTTAGGGAAACCGTCTGGAAGACACGAACAGCACTTACACTAAATGTGAGACACATGCTTAGATTATGTCGTTTTGGTTGCATGTCTAAATTTGGCACCCAATGTAAATGCTACTGTGTCTTGTGTTATTTGAACAAAAACAAGTGATGGAGCTGAAGATGAGCACAGATCAAGCCAAGACCAGATGGCTTTCAAAAGTAAAACTGTGATCCTAAATCTACCTGAAAGCTTCCTTTAGAAGAGTAGCCTGACTTTTAAATGGGTTGTTCCTACTACAGTCATTAGGAAGAAGTGGTGGATGAATGGATTTGAAAATCAGACCTGTCTTTATAGTAGGTATTTTAACCTGGATTTATGTTCCTAGTCTTTGAAATTTTGGTCAGTTGAACTTCTTCTCTGTGAAACCATGCAATGTTTAATTATATACACTGTAAATGCATTTAGTGCAACTCAGCCCCTGATACTGCAGGACGTGAAAGAGGCACTTTACTGATGGAAGAAGTTGTCTCTATTTTTCTGTTGAAATTGTATTAAAATTTGGAGAAGGCTGTTTAGTTTCTGTTTCATTGTAGAGCGCTTCACTGAGTCACAGTGATCTCTCTGCTTGTGAGACCTTGAGCCAGATTCATCTCAGTAACCCAGCTTGTTTGATGATAAAAACAGCTATCCAGCTAGCAACCAAGGACAGGCAGAAAGAATGAGATGCTTCAAGAGGACTGTAGGAAAAACCAAGATTAAAAAGCATCATGATTGCTAGGAGATAACCCTTGGAAATCTGTTCCAGTTTTTTCTGTTTCAAGGCTTTTTCAGACCTCCAAAGGTCATGGTACTTCAGCTAGAAGCAGCTTCTACCAAAATACTTTTTTCCTTGTGGGATGGCTCTGATGTTCCTTGTCTGCACTTCAGAAAATATTTTTTTTTATATGGGAATAGTTCAGATAGATACAATGCTGTTCATTAAGAAAGTCTTGCTGCCTGGGCAAGCCTCTTGTTATTCTTCCCAGATGAGATATTTCCCTCTTTGCAAATGGGTTGCCTTGGGTTGTGGAAAGGTTTTTCCTTCTTTTCTCAGTTTGCTTCATCCCTTCCTCCAGGGGCCATTTCTTCTTTCCAGAATGTTTTCATGAGCTGTATGTTCCCACTATAGCTCCCCGTTTGACACTATAGCTGGAAAATGCTGATGATGGAAAGAATACTATTTAGCCAAATACTTTCTGAACTTTAATGAAAACAATGTATTGTGCAGCAAATGGCACAATAAACACTACATGCGGCGCTGATGTGGTGAAACCTTTGTGTATAAATTTTTGACATTCCAGCTCTTGCCATTAATCCATGGAGTTGCAGCAGCATGATATATTATTTCTTTCTCTTCTGATTTCTTCAATAGCCCTTTTCCTCTTCACAAAGTAAATTCTGTTGCCAAAGAGGACAAAAAAGGTCTTTCAGCTTTCAAATCCTGTCCTTTGCTATTTCAACAGAAATTTCCTGGTAAAACGTGGAGACGGAGTTCAGTCAAAGGTGCGTTCAACATCACTGCTACCAGTAACAACCTTCCTGGGAAGGACTAGATGGATAAAACTTTGCTCTCTGACACACCAGTAAAACCCCGCCATGCTTTTCCTTTCCAGTACGAGGAGTGGGAAGCTCTCAATGCCCTTTCTTGGGTGGAAGGCACGAGTCATTCTTGGGACTTGGACATTTGGATGGCTTCTGTGTATAGATGAGGATTTCCAGGACCCTTTTCACCTCCAGATCGCCTTGTGTGGTGTTGACATGTGGCTGCTGCCATACCAGCAACACCTGGAAAACCAAGAGGTTCCAGGAGACAAAGAGCCTCCCAGCAACCTTGACCAAAGCCCCATGCAGCCCTGGCACCTCCCTGCTCTCCATGGCCACCCCACAGAAGCACATCCAGGTCCCAGTTCAGATTCTGGCCCCGGTGTTGCTGGCGGGCAGGTGATGTGGGGGGAGAGGAAGCCTCGGCTCCGAGGATCACACACACGTTGCAAACAGGAGCCCACGGGGGACACGTTGCTGTGCCTTAGCATGACACCCACCCGAAGTCATGGGATGGGGGAGGTCGGCAATTTGGGTCCGGACTGCGTGTAGGCGTCCGAGTGCTGGTGTCTACGTGCCAGCAGTGTCTGGCGAGGAATTCGGCTGACCAAAGGCACGTGGTGCCTCACGGTGACTTGAAT